TTCACTTTTCCGGCCCTTGTTTGTAAATTCCCCTAATATATTACTCTTTTTATTTCAATTTTCAGGTTGTTTTTTGCTTCTTGATAAAGATAGTTTTTTTTTTTTTTTTTTTTTTACACTTCTTGTTCCTCTCTTTGTTTTTTTTTTAAATTTTCTCTTTCATTTATTTTGTTTTTTTTAAAAATAGTTTTTTTTTTATTAATAGGTGGTTTTGTATTAATATAAAATTATCACTTTTTTTTGCTCTTAGTAAAAAAAGAAGAATTAAAGAGATTAGCTTTCGGCTGACAAAGTTTATTCAACTTGTATACAGGTAAGTGCAATAGGTTACTAATGGGCGCATTTTATCATAGCCGTGAAATGTTGGGCTTGCAATTTTCTTGCTTTAACTTGTTTAGTTTAGAAATAGTTTATCATAACTAATTTGAATAAATAAAGTTGCTTGTATTTAAGCTCTGGCAAGACTATCAAAGAACTAAAAAAAAAAAAAAAATACTACATAAATACAACTAATATTTAATATATATAATAATACAAATAATGAAATATAATCTATACTACACTATGCTAATGCTACATTGTGTTACAATCTGCTTTGTAACAATATATTTAAAGTTAATTTATATATATACAATATATATACCTTTATTTAAAAAAAACATATAGATACTATATATATATATATATACTGTATATATAGCATACATAATATATTGTATATAACTATATATATATATATATAAATTGAAACCGATTTACTAATGCTCAAAACTAATAATTTGATGCACAACAATATTCTTCTATTGGCTTATTATAACGATAAGTAAAAAAAAAATTTAAGTTTTATACGTAGTAAACTTAAGGTAGTGTTAAACGCTACGTAGTAGGGTAAATAAAGGTAAATGAAATATTTAGCATTTGAATTAACACGAGAAAATACATTTTTTACCTTTTTTACTTCATTTAGCAAATATTTGAAACAAACCAATACCATTACGGAAGATCTTTTATTCACGAAACCCCAATAATTATTTTTGAAGCGTCAACAATAAAAATATTTTCGGCAACTCAAGGATTTGTTCGATATGCAGATGTATGCCAAAGATAGATTGAATGAAATAGAATTTTCTATTGTTAGAATTATCCCGTGAATATCAAGCACAGATCATTATAAAACATATAAAAAAATCGCATTCTATCAACCCTGATTAATGTTAAAAAGCATTTTGAGACGGTTCGTGCTCTAAAGAGAAAAAGGTAAGGACTATCACATTAAATAAAAAAAAGCATACAATATATGCGTGATTTTTATTTGACAATCTTGATAAAAATTCGAGATAGTCCTGGCAAAAAAAAGTTTGATAAAATTTGCAAATCACATCAGATCTTATGCGTACGTACTACCACTTTTTTAGAATTTCAAAATTAGTTTTTTTTTTTATTATTATTAAATTGAAAAAAATAAAATACTTTTTGGTTTTTTTTTTTTTATGAAACGCCCAAAAATAAAAAATTAAATGAATAATAAATGAATAAGCTTGTTGTAAAAAAAACAACCGCTTTTTTTTTTCCTTTTAGAAATGACGTGACAAATTAATGTAGAAAGATGAGTATATACAAAATGAAAAAAAAAAGAACAAAAAGGAAAAGGTATTTGTTAATGTTAAAATTTACAATAATAAATGAGAACATTTGAATTTTTTTAAATCATTGTTCTTTGCTACTGGATTAACCCAAATAAAAATGGTGATGAAAAAAATACGTAAATTTTAGATAATCAAACTAGAATGATAATTAGGAAAAATAGAAAGTATAAGAAATTTAACAAACACCACCGACTTGAACAAACCCATCAAACCAAACTACCACTCCTTCCTTTAGTTCTTTTTTCCAAACAACACCTCGATATTGAAAGGTCCAAAAGCTCCACCAGCAAATCATGAATATTCCAGAGATAATACTACCCCAGAGAATGTCAAATAGATTGGGAAACCTAGAAAGATCAGTATGATATAGAGTAATTCCATCATCAACAGAACCTGTATAATTGAAAGGTACGTGAAACCAAAACTTTATAGCCTCCCAGAAAAGAATCCAACCAGCAGCTGATCCTGCGATACACCAAGTTCGATAAGACCAAGATTTAACAGAATCTAGAACAGTCAAATGTTCCCAAGTTATCAAACCCCAATGATTTCGGCGCATTGCTAAGAGAAGAATGAAAGATAATATGGGCAAAGTAGTTGATTTCCATTTTCCATGAGTTAGAAAAGGGGCGACATCCATTGGTTCTATAAGATATTCTAAATCATATAGCATTACAGAACCATTTCTGTTGACATAATAGTTATAGTAGTAACCTTGCATACTACTTATTGTAAGTGGTCTTGATATTAATGAATCAGGACGACTCTCAGGTTTTATAAGCCATAAACACATTGCCCAACCTGACCATATGACCCAAGTTCCATATAAAACGAGTGCTTTTTCTACTTGACTTTTTTTGAATAGGTTGGCTAACAAAGTGGCGATATGAAAACAAGTAGTAGTAACATACACCAATTGAGTAAATGACGTAAGACGTGATGATGGTATAGAGGTCGATGGTGTAATAAATAATGTATGAAGATGTTGAAATATTATCGTAAGATGAACGAGGAGGGCAAACGATGTATAACCTGTATTGCTATTATATTAAATAAAAAGCATCATGAATAATAATTAGATTAGTATAGTTTAGAATAGCCGATAACTTGTTTAAAAAATAAAATGATAAAAAAAATTACATTTTCATTAGTGGAGAAACTTTATCTTGTAGAGACAGTTAAAATCTTTATCTCACGTATTTTTTAAATAAGTATTATTAAAAGCGTCACTTTGTAGTCCAAAGTTTTTTTTTTTTTAAAAAAAAAAGACTTAGAGGTATAAAGGAAGATTTTATATTTATTTTTTTTTTATTTTTTGTTTATATATTTATTTACCAAAGGTGTATATTAAGAAAATGACCTCTACATTGTATCGAACGAGACAGATGGGAAAGAGATGAATTTTTAAATGAAAAAAACAAAAGGGGATTTTGTAAAAGCAGGGTGTATATTTTTTGTGTACTTAACCATATATATTCCTTGATATGCATGTCATTATCGTAGAATTTTCAGATACCGATGAGTAATCCTGTTTGTACATCTTTTTTGCTTGTCATTCCTTTTCTTTCACATGTTATTCTTTGGGAAGAATCACTAAATCCCATTTGAAATTATTAACGTTTGATATTATTAGTTCGGAAATCAACCCCCCGATTAAATTATGGGATGTTCATTAGATTGTTCACAAAGGTGATCCAAATTGCAATGGCCGAATATCTATCCAAGCAAAAATGTAACCGCATGTGTTTCTGATTTTTTTTATCCCGTTTAGTATGAAATCATGCTGAAATTATAACATTGGACAATTGAACAAGTTCGGGCGTGGCTATCAATACGTACAATGTAACTTATCTGTTATGTACTGTAACTCATGATTCATAAGAATATTCAGGAGCTTCTTGTGTTCATATGTTTAGCCTTTAGGGATGTTGGTCTGTGATACTTCCATCATTGATTCCATAAAAAAATGATAATCTATCCAATCAATGAAAGGTGGAAATCCAAATTTTAACATCTGATTGTAAATGTCAAAAGCACGTTTTTGGAGTAGTATATATTCATTAATAAAATCTTCTATTATCTTATGTTATCTTATATTATCTTATATTATCTTATTATACGTATTATGTGTATATCAGATATGTAATACTTTTTTATTTTTATTTTTATTTTTCACATATATTTTTATATATTTTTGTATTACATATCGCTTATTACTGTACAGTACGTATTAACATTTTACCTTTTTAATTACCAGTTAAAGTAATCTTTCCACAAGATTTAAAATATACACTGGCGCCAAAAATACGTAATTTGGATCTAAGTAATCGATCTTGTATTAAAGACTTACTATAGGAAGTCGCCTAGAAAATTTTGAGATGAAAAAATAGATGAAACTATTGCTGTTTATTATTATTATACATATTTTTCATTTCTACGTAACAATTTGAGGAGAAGGTTTATTCAAAGCGCCAAAATCGTGATTGAAAAATAACTTTTCCTTATCATGGTAACTAATTTTAATCTGTTGAATAAAATTCTTTCCTTAAACCTTTGATTAGGCCCGTGTAAGGTTACACTTAACCCTGTAAGGTTCTCCATTCCGTTTTGTAATGCTGCGCGTACAGAATTTCGTAACGATAACCGAAAGAGAATGATGCATTCTATCTGAATCTAACCGTGTATGGATATTTGTTTACTTTTTCTTCACATCACTACGTACGCAAAAAAAAAAAAAAAAAAAAAAAAAAATTTTTCACATACATTGATTCAAGTTTATAACAGGTTATAACATGGACATTCAGGATCAGCAGGCTCGTTATGTGATTGTGTCTGTCAATAAAAAAAGTAACAAGAAGTGGTAGGAGCTTTTTGATTGTTACGCCTAATAAGGTTTATCTTTAAATTCAACCTTTTATTTCGTTGAGGTTAACGGTTATGTAGAGAGCGATTGAGGTAGATACGTGAAAAAGTTAGGTGAAATTATTATTATAACGCCAAGAGAGACTATATTTGTCGCAATGTGACATTAACGTTAAGTCATATTTAGCTGTATATTACGTATTTTATATCATATATGTCTTATCGTTGTAATGGTATCCAAAAAAAGTAAATGTTACTCAAGTTTTTTTAAGGAAATGTTGGTGGTCAGTGCCCGTATCCAACCAACGATCTCAAAACGTATGGTATCATAGGAAAACTGTTTATTGAAGTAATAAATAAGGTAAATAAGTTACTGAATAAATAAGGTATATACACATGTATGTCCAGTTGAGTTCGTACGTCCAGTTCGTACCTTCGATAACAATAGATTCAATAGATTCAATAGATTTGAGGAACGTAATTTCAAAAGCACAAACAAAACATAGCGTGATATTGTGATGAATGCTAATTTTATGGTGCACGTGTCAGCTTTAATTTTAGCATTGCAATTGGTTTCTGTTCAACATTAAAATTTTCTAGTTAAAGTTTTATTTTTTTGCAGGTGATAAAGATGATCCTCATTACGTTTAATGTTTATCATCAGATCAATTTATCTTTAAATGACAAAGATTCGGAGGCTCATTTCATTCTCATTACTTTATTAGAAATATGATGATCCTCGCCTTTGACAAATCAGCGAAAGCAATAATTACTTTATTAGAAGTATTAGAAGTATGTTGATCCTCATCTTTGACAAATCAATGAGAGCAATAACTGAATAATTTATTAATTTATTGATTTAATGTGCATACTTCCTTCGCTCTCATGTTAATACGCGAAAATGGATAGATGTGAAAAACAAGTATTAATTATAAGGTAAAACCTTTGCATTTCACCTTCGCTTTAATTGGATTCGACCCTATGCATTTATTTATGTTGTACTACTAACTGAGACTGTCCATTCATATCAATCCTTTGATTTCCTGAAATGTTAAAAGCCCTTATGTAAATAAAAAACTTTTCTAGCAATTTCTTTATGTGAAAAAAGCCTTACGGATATCGGTATGTGATTCTGTACTATGTGAAAAAAGGATGAGATTACATAATGCAGTATTGAGTGTGAAAAGCAAAAAAAAAATTTTAATTTGCCCGCTCAATATTGTTTGTGTTTGAAGAACTTTTTATCCCTTTATACGGACTTAACGTAAGGAACTTTAATTACCTGTGTTTCAATTTTACCAAATCTATCCTATTAAAATGATTAATAAGGTAGTCAAACCTTGGCAAATGAACCAATTCCACGAAGCAAATTAATATACTTAATATCTTAAGCGCATTTATTTTGTATGCCATTTCTCCCCTCTTTTTGTAAACATTTAAGTGCAAAATAACTTTAAAAACCTGATTAGAAAGTAATCAGATATCAGATACTATTGTAATACTTTGCACAAAATGAATTATTTGTCTCGCAAATAAATGGTAAATAAGTAATTTCACATGAATCTAAAAATTCATTTTCCGAATGTAAAAAAAAAAACAAGAATTTTAGAAAATCCCGTGATAAAGATAAAAAGATCGCTATTAGATATGCTAATAGAAATTTTAAAGTAAGAATAAAGTTAATGCTTTGAACTATTTTTGTCATAAAGCTATCATTTAAAGTGTCATTGATAACTTTAATGCGAAATAGTTTATATTGATAGATAAAATATAGATAAAAAATAGAACCATTTTGTCGTTTCTTAGAAATGTCAAAAAACGCCACTGTGGTCCAAACGATGTTGGTAAACCAGAACAATTGTTCTATCTATTGTTCAACATTTCAAATTTTACATATTATTTTTCGTTTAAATAATATGCAGAATGACCTTTTAATGTGCAAGTTGGGAGGTCAATTTTCAATACATGCAACTTAGACCTATTTTCATGTGCTTTCAGTTAATGATCAACAAAGGTAAAATTGGGCGCTTGACATCTTTTTGTAAAAGATCTCCGAGGTTTTTATTTTTTATTTTTTATTTTATTTTTATTTTTATTTTTTTCTTTAGTAAAAACGAGAGACTACCGTCGTGTACTATATTGTATCTTAATCAATTATCGATATATATAATTAGATTTATTATTCATATGATAAATATTAGTTGAATTATTCATAAATCAAAAAAATAAAAATTTTTAAGAATTCTATTTTTTTTTTATTTAATTTATTTTTTATTTATTTTCTTTTCTTTTGCGCTCTTTCAGTTTATGATTTTATTATTCAATTCTAAACCAACTTTGTGAACAGTCTCCAAAAAAACTTTAACATTCTCTGGATCGACCGTGGGTAAAATACCGTGACCAAGATTTACTATATACTTTTCACTAGTACCAAAATTTTCAAGCATCCTCCTAACAGTACTTCTAATTTCTTCGTGACTTCCATACAATACGGTGGGATCCATATTACCTTGAAGAGTGACCCTACCTTTAGTAATAGCCTTGGCATACGCGGGATCAATAGTCCAATCTAATGAAACAGTATCATACCCAATATTAGACAATGATTCAAGAGCGTACCAAGAACCTTTACTAAATATCGTCATTGGAACTGGTTCAATATCCTCCTGCTTAAGTTGTGATTTAACTTTATCAACTATCTGAGTAATGTATGGCAACGAGAAAATATTGAAATCATAAGGTGATAATTCACCGCCCCATGACTCAAACACTTGAATCATCTGCATAACAAGATAAAAATTTATAAAGTTTCAGAAAAATTCACTTCTTTCATTTTCTTAGCTAAATTACGAACCTGTGCTCCAGCTTTAATTTGTCCAATTAAAAATTCTATACAAATATCGGTGATCTTTTGTAATAATCTTTTTGATTCTTCTGGATAACTAAATAACCATTTTTTTGCCTTTGATAAATTATTACTACCTCCTCCCTCAATCATATATGCCATCAAAGTCCAAGGCCCACCAATAAATCCTATTAAAGGAACTCTTCCATCTAAGGCTTTCCTTGTCATGGTAATAGCTTCGAAAACGTATCCAAGTTCTTCATATACATTTACATGTTTACGTAATCTGGTATCAATGTCTTGAGGAACTTCTAAAGGGTTGGGAAAGTGTGGTCCTTTACCGGGTAACATTTCAACCTCCAAACCTAATGCTTGAGGTATTACGAGAATATCCGAAAATATTATCGCAGCGTCAAATAAATCACGATATCGCTCAATAGGCTGAAGTGTGATTAGTGTTGCTAATTTTGGCGTGCGGCAAATTGTGAAGAAGTCATATTTTTCACGTACTTCTCGAAACTCTGCAAAGCCCTTTTTATTAATATGATATAAAGAATTGAATTTACACAGAAAATATTATCAAATTTTTACCAGGTAAATACCTTCCAGCCTGTCTCATAATCCATACTGGTGCACGCTCGGTTTTTTTACCTAAGTTAAAAAAAGCTTAATTTAGACATCTTATTATAAAAAGTAAATAGACTTCTTTAAATTAATTTATACCAAGCGCTGCGCGCAAAATTAGATCATTCTTTAACGGAGGAAAATCCATTAAAAAAAAAAAATTTCGGAGATTATCATAAAATAAATATCGAATATTGGTCATACATATATCCAAAATCAATAATTTACATTAACTAGAAGGATATCGATCCGGAATTAGAATTACCCAAATTACCCATCGGCTAATATCGATATATATATCCAACAAAAAAAACAGGAGATGGGATACTATACTGCAACGAGCTTGTGTCGCAAGAAAGAAATTTTCAAGCATACCTTAAGTAGTCTGGAGATTTTTTAAAAAAAAAATTATTACGTATATTATTATATGATAAAAATAGTTTTATCCTTTTTAATACGTATAAAATGCATTCATGGTGTTTTACATATATATATCACTATATATATGCTTATATTATTTTGGTGTATAATATTCTAACACTTTTTAAAAGCCTTAAATCTAGCCCTAAATACTAACTCTAATATATACAATGTCACGGATGATGCTAAAATCGGATAAAACCTATTTATATGCGATTTTTAAAATTTTTTGGCGTATATTTTTTTAGCCTTTTTTTTATGTTTGGATAGTTAGGTTTATAATAATATATATGGGGGTGAGTCAATAGAAAAAGGACAAATTTTTTTTAAGTAAAAGTTTTCTTGACTTTAGGCTTAAATTTCTTGGCAATTATCTCATCAAATTTAATAAATTTTTTTTTATTTTAATTCTATATAATTTCAAGATTAAAATAAAAAAATTTTTACCAAATTTGATTAATTAGTTGTTGAAATATTTTAATTTAAAAATTAAAAAATTTTACTAAAAATGATTTGTCCTTTTTCTATTGACTCCCCCCCATATATAGATTTTGGTATACTGTATATATAGGGTTTATATTTTCAGATTAAGACCTTAGGATTTTAGCATCTTCCACGGCATACAATATAAAAATTTACTGTAGTTACTATAAAAATTTAGTATGTTAAAATTCTTATTAAAGTTTTGTTAAGTTCTAAAATTTGTAAAATTTTGGTTTTTTACTAATTTTAATATAGAAATTAATTAATGATTTTTAATGTTCATCAAGATGCTATTTTTCAAATATTTAGTGTTTGAAATACTAAGCAAAAAATATTGTTTTTAATTTATCTATATTAATTCTTACTTTTTGATGATTATTTGGTATTATTTTTAGATTATACTTGTATAATTAGCAAGTTATTTAACTTTGCTTTTAGGGTTTTGATAGATAATACAGTAAGTGTTTGTTTTTTTTTTTGTTTTTTTTAAACGGTATTTGCTTTATTATCTTTAGTAGTTAAGTGTTTCTTTTTATCGAGACGTACAAGGTTTTATCAGTACAGAAACTTCTAGAAACTATACCCCTCACTGACTCTATAACAAAGCTCACTCGGCTGCTCTAAAGTGCCCAAGTGTAACCGTCTAGTCACAGATTTACCTCCCCTTTGGCCTCTAACTTGCTAGGGGATTTCCCTCCGGATCAACAGTAGGCCATGCTTACCTATTTAATTCATATACATTCTGCTATATATACTACTGTACAATATCCACTAGTTATAATTCACCTCTCATCACTTATCACATTACTCCTAATTTGTATCTTGTATAACTTCCAAATTGGTGTCCTAGGAGTGGGTGCTCT